TCCGTGGCTATATTTCTTACTGCGGCTTTAGAAACTATCTACGCTTACTCCACGATGGATAGTAATCATGAACAAGGCCCTTCCAGGAAGAAAATTGCGAAAGAAAGGCTTGAAAAGGGTGGGAATTGGGAGTGTAGCAGGAAGGCCTCTGAGCGCTCACTCATGGCTAACGCATGGCCCGTCTTCAACTCGTCGGCGGTTGGAGCGTGACCAGGTTTTTTTTTTTATATGCTAATGTTCCTCTGGAGAATTTTATTACGAACCCATTGAGACCAAAATGAAAGACCTAGGACAAAAATTGAGGTGACCAGAGTGAAAATAGTGAAAACATTTTATCCCGTTTCCGCGCTCCCGGGTAACTCGTTCACACTTTCTCTGCTGCGGGTAATTAGCCGGGCTTTTGGAGTTTATATGCATTTAGTGCTGTAGAGAATTTTATTGCGAACACAATGATACCAAATTTAATCTCGTAGAAGGAGAATTGAGGTGACAAAGTTGAAGAGAGTATACACTTTTCGGAATTAACGCGCGCTTCCGTGACATGCTGGGGCCCATATCGCCCTGTCGAGGGGTGGCGCGCGGGGTGAGCGAAAGTGTTAAGAGAACGATTGTTTTTCTCAATTATTATAAATATTAAAAAGTCCTTCATTACCATCCATCATCCTGGATGAAGGCGGAGGGAGAATTATGGGTAGTGTCGGAGAGAGAGTTCAGTTAGCTGAGAGACGTCACCTGGGAAACATATTCGGTTAAGTGTTCTGTACTGTTGTAGTAATGTAGCATAATTTTTGTCTGGAGGAACATTAACTTTTAATTATTTAACCATTGATTCACTAGTGTTATTCAAAGTGATTGCCATGTTAGATAGTATTGATATTACATGCTTTTAGTTTGTTTGTTAAATATATTATACTATATATATATATATAAATTCTGCCTATGTTTATAACCTGGTGTTATATTTTTTCTTTCTTGTACTGTATCACGGGGCACTCTGGTATATCATATTTAGATAGAGTCAGTATCCCTAGACTATACTTAACACTGTACCCGATATTACGAGCGGTGCGTACGAACGGTAACATGGGGTGCATAATAAATGAACTAAACTAACTTTTATAGTGTCGTCTGCATTCTCTTTAAATCTCTTTAAATATTAAAATCCCCCTGAGATTATTAGTTGGTGTTTGTTAAGTCTGTTTGCTAGTATTAGATTTCTAAGGTTAGAGTTGAATTCAGATACTGCTGAAATCCTATCATCAGTGTTAGGAATTCTGAAAACTGCTCCCACAATCAGGTCAGCCTCAGCACCCCTTGACTCTGAAACGGGCAAAGATATACTTGCCACACGAGTCTCAAGTTCTAATTACATTTAAGCATGTCAGTTCTTGGTGGTAGTAAAGAGCAGTACCACCACCACTTCTGAATTAGTCGACAGTTGTGAATTGCTGAGTAGTTTGGTATGTTAAAGAGTCAAGTTTATTTATTTATTTATTTATTTATATATATACAAGAAGGTACATTGGGATTGTGAGGATACATAGCATAGTATTTACATTCTTGTAAAGCCACTAGTACGCACAGCGTTTCAGGCGGAGTTGTATCCTCTTCTAACCATGTTTCAGTAAGTACGTATAATAAAGGAAAATTTGTTGTCAACTGTTTGCATTAGGGCACTAACATTATCAAAGTGTTTGCTTAGAGATCTTACATTGCAGTTAATTACAGCAACATTCTGATTATGATCATTAAAGTTATGATTGTTGTCGGATAATTTATAAGAGGTTCAGTTCTGGGTCTATACTAGCTTGCATATGAAGGCTGATTGAGGGTAAAAATGGCAAAAGTACAATTTATGATGTAATGAAGGAGTAAACAAATAGAAAATAAAACTAAGTTCCTTAGAATAATGGAAATTTGGAGCAATTACAAAAAAAATCTGGATATAAAAAATAACTAGCATGAAATGCAAATAAAATAAGAACAAGTGAAAATGAAAATAATAAAAAAATGTAATTGGATAAGTAAAAATTAGATAAGTAAAAAAGGATTCAATAAGGAATGACTATGGAACACAAAACTTAATAAAATTACTAAAATTGCACTATAAAAAATAAGGATGAAAAAAATTGCTTTGAGGTACACTCATGTACACTGAAAGTAATAGTTTGCACTAGAGGATATAGGCAAAACCAGGGATTCAATGGACCATTGGAGTATGGAGAGGTTAGGCAACCTAAGTAACAGTGAAACCTAGGTTACCTAGCCTCACTTGGTGACAAGAGGGTTAATTAAGATGGGGCACTGATAGGGTTAGTTAGGTCAGACAAACCACATTGGTTGAGGAATTTGTTGTTGTGTTATCCTCATTTAAAATGCTAAACATTTTACCTGCAGACATTTTCCTCCCTTTTATCGTGCAATCTCTAGTAAAGCACTGATGGATCACACACCTTGGTTTTGATTTTGGATTTGTTGCAGGCAGTAGAGGAGTGCCTTGTCTTTTTCTGGTCAAGCCCTCAATGTAAATCCCCTTTTTAGAGGATACAGTCGGTCCATCTAATTACCCAAAGCTTCCTAGTATTACATAAGTAATGAAGAAATATATATTTACTCACTATAACTTTGGTGCTGAAGGTAGAACATGAAAAAAAAACATATTTTTACTCTGAAATAATATAAGTTTATAACGAAATTAGACGAAACTAGGTGGCATGAGAGGCCATAGGAAGTCGACGGTCCAAGCGACAATGTTGTGGAGCAACTTATCCAAGAGGTATTGTTGCCTACAGGTTATATCAAGTTAGGTTTGGGTTAGGTTAGGTTTTGTCAGGTTAGGTTTGGGTAGATTGGTTAGGTTAGGTAGGTACAGAAGGCTGATATGCCAGCACTTTCCAAGCAACAATGAGTCTTGGATAAGTCGCTCCACAACATTGTCACTTGGACCGTCAACTTGCTTTGGCGTCACCAGCAGCTTATTTTCGTTTAATTTCGTCATGAAATGATACTTTCTCAGAGTACAAATATATTTTTCCATGTTCTACATTCAGCACCAACATCATAATGAATAAATACAGTATATCATTTATAATGAATAAATATATCATATTTATTCATTACTAACGTAATGTTAGGAAGCTTTGGGTAGCTTGTTAGGAAGTTTTGGGTAGCTTGTTAGGAAGCTTTGGGTAGCTTGTAAGGAAGCTTTGGGTAGCTTGTTAGGAAGCTTTGGGTAGCTTGTAAGGAAGCTTTGGGTAGCTTGTTAGGAAGCTTTGGGTAGCTTGTAAGGAAGCTTTGGGTAGCTTGTTAGGAAGCTTTGGGTAGCTAATTAGACGGACCCGATACAGCTGTCTGGACAAGATCAGATTTTAGGGACTGGGTAACTAGTTTGAGGCGAATTTTTCTTTGGTCTGGTCGTGCTAGATTCTTTTTGCCTACTCTGTAGGCAGCAATTATGTCTGCTTTATTTACCTCAACGTGCAGTGGGTCTTTTATGATAGCATGTACAATGTCAATATACTTCTTACCTTCGCTCTTCTTCTTCTTGATAGTAGGTGCAGTTTGCATGAAGGGTTTGTCCTCCCGATGACTGCACCAGTACAGATGTTGGTAGAGGCGTTTATGTTGAAGATGATAAGAGTTTCAAAAGTGCTTGTTGCGTTGTGCTGTAGACAGAGGAGCGGCGACTAAAACAGAGGTGGATGTTAGAGGGAGACTTGCCGCACCGTAGGGCGGTGTGTTGTGTTTATGGCGTCAGCTGATCCTTGGTGTTGCGACGAAACATTTGTTTTCTGTGTTTAGCTGTTGGTGGCGCCAGGTATAAATGTGGCGCGGGTCAGATGTGACCCAATTTGTTGGTCGATTGGAGATATTTAGCCAGTGCTTTGACTATTTGGTATTTTTCTTGTAACGAGTGGTCACCGCCTCCTAATATATGCTCGATGGTAAAGGGTATTTTAAGTGAGATAAGTTCTTGTTTGAAATTTACTCTGGCACTATAGTGTCGGAAGCAATGTAGGAGATAGTGTTCGATTGTTTCAGGCACCTGACAGTGGATGCAGAGTTCGTTGATGTCTGTTCTGTACTTAGAGCTTTGTGCTGCTAGTTTGGTGTGTCCCAGCCTTAATCTGGTCATCGCTATATCAATTTCTCTGCTTTTATATCTGACATGTTTCCAAGTTTCCCATTTCTTTTTAATGGACCCATAGTACAAAGGTGAGCATGACGTTTTCCATTTCGTCGCAAAATCTTGGGTGATGGTATTTTTGAAGGCTCCTTTACGTGCAACATGGGGAATTGGATGACGGGTAATGTGAGGTGTGTTGTGCATTGCTTTGGCTAGTTGATCTACTAGTTCATTATGGAGAATACCACAATGCGCTGGGACCCATTGGATAGAGGTATCATAACCGTTCAATCGATGTTCATGAAGAAGTTGAAGACATGGGTAAACAAACTCCTTGCACGTTTTTGAAGAGTACGTAATTGCTTGAATCGCACTCTTGGAGTCACTGCAGATTGTATATGTCCCGACTGGTAATGTTGTGATTATTTGGAGAGCTTGATATAAGGCATATAATTCAGCTGTGAAAACAGATAGTTGGTTTGGTAACCGCCATCCCTGCTTGAGATGGTATTCCGGTATCCATACAGCGCTAGTGACCGAGGGTACGTTGTTCTTGATGATGCGAGATCCATCTGTATAAATCGCTGTGGTATTTGGGTAGAAATTTTTCATTGTTGAGAGAAAGACTGAGGCTATGGCTGAGTTTGGTGCAGATTTTGGAATGTTGTCTTCGAGTTGTATTGCTGTATTAGGAGTTGTATAAAGCCAGGGTGGAATAGGGGGAACAGTAAGTTGGGTTTCCGAGTTTTGGAGTAGAGAGAGGTCTATATTGAGGTTATTTGTAGCCCGTGTGAGGAAAGGTTGTGAGTGATTGGTTGGGAAGCGGGGGTTATGTGGGTTAACTGTTGGGTTAATTTTTGATCTGTATGGGTACCTTCGCTCTCCACCAGGATGGCTGAAGACGACACAATAACAATTGCTGGTCTTGTTCATCCTGGGAGATAGATTCTTGGGCGGTTATAGTACTGATACATGCATTCATTTTGTTAAGAGCTTCTCCTTTTTTTTACGGATTCATTGGTTTTCAGATGTGTATTTTCCGCATGGAGATTGTTAATGTTATGTTATGTCAATAAAATCAGCAACCAAACAATGTCTTTATATTAACCCTACAACCAGGGTCATCCCTCTACCCAGTCTCTACATCCCTCTACCCTGCATCTACATCCATCTACTCTGCCTCTACATCCATCTACCCTGCCTCTGCATCCATCTACCCTGCCTCTACATTGCCTACATTCCCTCTACCCTGCCTACTTTCTCTCTACCCTGCCTCTACATCCATCTACCCTGCCTACATCCCCGCTATCCTGCCTCTACATCCCTTCACCCAAACCCCCATCCCCCTCGATTCCGAGCCTCCCCCCTCCAGATAAATCCCTCTCCACTCCACACCTTCAACCAGCCCTTGGAGAAAGCTGGTTATATTTTCGACACTGGATAAATTTATTTAATTCAGTCAATCATCCATCTTTGTGGTCAACTTGCTGCCAATAACGTCTTAGGAAGAAGGTAAATGTAAAGTTTAGTATTAAGTTTTAATCTTTAATGTTTTCCCTGCCCGAAACGCTTTGTGTAATAGTGGCTTTAGGCATTGTAAGTACTAGCTCTATCTATAAATCTATCAATTTTTGTATCACTTCTTGTATGTATGTACTTTACCCGAATAAACATTTGAATTTGAATTTGAATAAACGTTCCTTTCCTTCCCCCCCCCCCCTTCCCTCTCCACCTCAACTACCACCAACACGCTGATGTTTTTAGCATTTCGTCTTGTTCAATAACTAATAAACAACTCGTGGTATATAGATAATAAAGGAGCTCCAGCAAGGCATCGCATCTACTGAAAGGGTAATATTTTTCAAAATGGTTTATTGTTTGTTTTTACTCGGCTCGCGCGGACATAAATTTTGGGGCCAAGTCTCTTACGCCGAGCTTGGGAAGGCCGCGATATTTTTCCTTGAACAAAGCCGCGTGTGATAAATTCCCTGAAGGGGGCATCGCTGTCTAGCTCTCAACGGAAGGCTATTTATGCTCTCTTCTGTGGGGCTGCAAGTTCTTCAAGGCTCAAAGAGACTGTGTCAAAATGAGGAGAATGATATTATATCTATTGAGTTTCGTCTTCTTAAAAGCTCTGATGAGTCTTGGAGGATTCTGCTTCGTTGTCCAAAGTAAAGGATCAGCAGACACTGAACTGTTGAGACCAATAAGCTGCTCTATACCCAATGTTGTATTAAGGTTATGAGATAACCACCTTTTATTACACAGGAACTGTGGCACTTCATATTTACTTGAATATATAAGGAGCCATCATCTCTAGCGGCCTCATCGGGGACAGGAAACCGGAGGTTTGTCAAAAGTTCCTCACTATTTTTTTTTAGGATTTTTTCCAGATGAATTTTGAACTGGGTTACTGTCTAGGCCTCCACAGCTTGGGTGGGTTGGTGATTATATGGGTTTATTATCCAGTGGGTGCATAAACATAACCTGTTTTCTAACACCGGCTTGACGCTGCTGGAAGCAGACGTTGCCCCGTGTGTGAGTTATACTGGACTTTTGACAGAAATGGACTGGATTAATATCCAACCAATCTTTGACGCTTGCACTTTGCCAGATTCAGAAGGTACTTTTTTTTTCTCGACTACTTTAAGGTAACAATATTTCAATTAGCTCTTGTGCAGGATACGGTTATCTATTATTTTCTGATACGTTCCCCTATTTTACTAATGATTTTATCCAGCTAGTTTTTGAAATGCAGCATTTGCGATTTCAGTGGACAGCCGGTTCCGTTGTTCCTTGTCTGTTACATCTGATATTTTAAAGAAGTGGGCTGGTTCAGTGTCTTCCAAATGGTTCAGCATTATAACAGTTTCGATGAGATCAGCTCAGTCATGTCTGGTTTGTTATGTGGCCCTCAACCGTTCCTGGTATGGGATGGTTATGTACCCCCTTCCACAAGTAATATTACCTCCTCCTGAACTAGTGTAGCCCCACAATTCCAGTATCCGTTCCATAATTAGTGTATCCCTTTTACTTGTGAAGAAGGTACACTACTTGTGATCATGGGGTACATGATCATGTGGCTCTACGTGTGATGTGGTACACTACTTGTGACGTGGTACGCTACTTGTGACGTGGTACACCACTTGTGATGTGGTACACTACTTGTGATGTGGTACACTACTTGTGATGTGGTACACTACTTGTGATGTGGTACATTACTAGTAATGTACCTCCTACAAAAATACTGTACCACCCCCTCCTCTCCACAAGTAGTTACGTAACAAGTTAAGACTTGTTATCTGAGTTGTATTCTATTCATATAATAGCAGATCAATATTAAAGGAAGACATCTTGTCGAGGAAGATTGCCTGGGACACAACCCCACCATAACACAATGAGACAAACTTTAAATTGTCAAAATGTTGTGAATGACGTGACGACACATTAGTCTCGCATCTTTCATTTTTTTCCCCGGGAAACGAATGGGAAAATTTGTGACTTAATGATCAGACCAAAGTGCTCCACTGCTCAGCCTGGCTTATGTGATGGGAGATCCTGGGAATATTTATGGCTTGATTTGTCGCTGCGACTCACCGTCCTCACTCGGGCCCTAATCCAATCAACCATTCTATCATTGTCTGGCTAAAGCTTCCACGGCAGTGTTGTGGGGAGTCACAGTTCATCCTACGGGTGTGGCTGCTGGTGTGGCTGCCGGTGTGGCTGCTGGTGTGGCTGCCGGTGTGGCTGCCGGTGTGGCTGCCGGTGTGTGCTGTTCTTGGCCTTGCATAGTAGGCCAAGAATGGCGTTCTGGTTACTAGGTACAACATATTATATATATATATATATATATATATATATATATATATATATATATATATATATATATATATATATATATATATATATATATATATATATATATATAAGGACAGGAGATACTATATTATAGACAAGTGTCACTGACATGAATTCCTTTTACAATTCTGGAGAAGGTATTGAGGAGGAGAATAATGGAGCAGTTGGAGAGGACCAAATTTGCTGATAAACTTTACAGCAGAAGGGCGTCATGCCTGACAAACTTGATCGAATTCTATGCCAAGGTTATAAAAATAGCGACAGGAAAACGATATTTGGGTAGACCATCTTCTTAGATTGTCAAAAGCTGTGATACTGTTGATAGTAAAAGACGGTGAACAAGATGGATTGACCTAGACCACTTCTTCAATGGGTCAGATGTAACATGAACAATAACCAACAGATACAAGCTCAACGAAGCACAATGAAGGACAGAAAACAGGAGATGCTTTTTACCCCATAGGTTACAAACCCATGGAACCGCCTACCCGCCGAAACCGTAAATGCCGGAACCCTGCATTAATTTAAGATCCAAATAGATAAAATGATCAGGACAAGTAGGGGAACCTTTGACAAGCCACTGACTTTCTGTCCTCGTCGAGGCCACTAGAGATATAGTGGCCCTCAGGTAAAGGAAATCAAGTGGGTGGGCACCATTAAATTAGATGACGAACAGCTAAAAAGGCGGACCCCAAGACCAAATATTTGCTCTTGCAGGCACAACAAGGAAAGTACAGTTAGGTGAGTGGTGCGCGCACGGACACAAATCCTTCCCCCGACACACACGTCAACCTTATTGACAGCTACGGAGGGGTTGAAACTGAAGGAGAAATTTTCCATCACACAGACAACCAATTTGCCCCACTCCAGACACACTCCAGACACACGTCCAGCGCATGCGAAAATACACTCACGACTGTCACATCATGTCATCCATTTGCACATTTTTGTCTTTTCTACAGAGAGGAAATGTGTCAAAATCTAAGACATTTGCTGTGGCTAGCTGGTGGGAGGTCGCAGTGTCCTCAATTTGCGGCTGCGACTCGCCGCTGTCGCCCAACAAGAAATTTATGGATACGAATGGCGGGGCACTTGTCAGTAGTGGATCGCCCTCAGCCATTGTGGGTCGCTGACACTACTTCGTCTGCTGCGTCTGCCGACACTGCTGAGTCTCCTGCTTCTGGCTGAGCAGCTAAGCCTGCCGACACTGCACAGTGGTCTGAGGCTTAGGTTGGTAAAGTTGTTGAAACTGTAATTACAGAGCCTCTTGCCATATTTACTGCTGCTTTTGTTAAGGAGTCAGCCTCCACCACACCACTTCCTAATACATTCCATTTATTAACTACTCGGACACTAAAAAAATTCTTTCTAATGTCTTTATGGCTCATTTGGGCACTCAATTGCCACCTGTGTCCACTAGTCCGCGGGTCCCTTGTGTTAAATAAAATGTCTTTGTCTACCCTATCAATTCCTTTGAGAATCTTGTATGTGGTGATCATGCCCCCCTCCCCCTACCTCTCCTGTCTTCTAGCGACGTGAGGATTAATTATCGTTGTCTCTCCTCATAGCTCATGCCAATTCGGGCACTAGTCTGGTGGCAAACCTCTGAACTTTCTCCAATTTAGTTTTATGTTTGACAAGATTTGGACTCCATGCTGGAGCTGCATACTCCAGAATTGTTCTAGTATACAGTGGTATAGTATACGTATACGTGGTATATTAAGTTCTGAATTATTTCTTACACAAGTTCCTAAAGGCCGTTCTAATGTTTGCCAACTTGGCATATTCCGCTGATGTTTTCCTCTTGGTGTGGGCTTCGGGGGACAAGTCTGGCGTGATATCAATCCCCAGGTCTTTGTCTCTCAATGATTCTAGAAGAATTTCATCTCCCAAATGATACCTTGTGTCTGGCCTCCTGCTCCCTTTACCTATCTTCATTACATTACATTTGCTCGGCTTAAACTCTAACAACCATTTGTTGGACTATTCCGTCAGTTTGTCCAGGTCTTCTTGAAACCTCAAGCTGTCCTCCTCTGTCTTAATCCTTCTCATAGTTTTGGCGTCGTCAGTAAAGATTGAGAGGAATGACTTTATACCCCCTGGAAGATAATTTACGTATATCAGAAACAGATAGGTCCAAGTACAGAGCCCTGTGGGACTCCGCAGTGACATCATGCCAGTCTGAGGTCTCACCCCTCACTGTAACTCTCTGCTGCCTATTGCTTAGGTACTCCCTTATCTGTGATTGTGTGGTGTGTGTGAGTGAAAATCTCAGTCTTTTTGTAACTTAATATTTCCTCTTTCCTTGTATATATTTTTTTCTTCCTCTCACAACTGCTACATATCTGTTTCTGTCTCTTTCTCCTCCCTTCTCTTCAAACAGAATTGGTTGCCATAATCCTTACACTCGAGCGCGTACATG